ATGCATAAAAATCAGTGTCACACTTAATATTTTAAATGAGATGCTGTCACTTTAAAGCTTCTTGATATGTCATGGTTTACTGAAGGAGAGCAGTGAGGCTCAAGAGCTCAAGGCTTTGTCAACAAATGGTGCTGTCAAAAGTAATGCATCAAATTTTTCATGTGCTTATGGAATTTCTTTTGGTTTTCTGTTTTCTTCTCCCCCTCCTCCCACTCTGATCTAGAGGTTAGTATTTGACTTGTGATGTGCCACTGATTTCTGTTTGATCACCCTAATGCCTAAGATGAGATTCTTATGTTCTTATTTGTTTCTTTAGATATCATAAGTATAAATTGCAATGTATTATTCAGGAAACCTCTGCAGTCTTTTATAGGTAAAATCTGTTCGGAAAATTTTTGAGAAGTGATTGAATTTTAATGGTCTATTTTTAGGCAATTGAGTTGTTTTGCTTTTAGGGCATGAAGATTTCTTGGATAATTACAGGTTTCTTCACAACTCTCTTTCCTGTGAGAATGGTCATATTTTCTGGATGATATTCTGTCATGTGAAAACCTGATAGATATCAATGCTTTGAAAGCTGGACAATAAGAATTTTGATATTCTTATAGCAAAGAACATGGACAGGACAATTTAAATAATAATGTTCAGAATCCTAACAAGTTCATCACTTTCTAAAGTAGAATACTTAAATTTAAGCTGTGGTGATTACAAAAAATGCTGAATTGAATAGGAAATGTTATTAAATTAAATCTGTGGAAAAAAATGTGTATTTCTTAATAGTATTTCATGCATAAGTGTGTGTTAAGACATAAATGGCTATCTCGTGAGTGTTTCCATAGGATGGATCAGCCGTACTCAGTTTGAAGAGACTTGGGCTACTTTGCTTGGTGTGCTCGTAACTCAACCTATTGTAATGGACCAAGAGGAGAACCAACAAGAGGTAATGTCATTCACTGAATTTTTTTATTTTTTTTTTAATTAAATTTTAATTAAACTAAGAAAAATGTTTCTGTTAATCAGCCAGTAAAGCAGAAAAATATTTTCTAAAACTATGAAATTATTTCCACTTTGTATTTCCTGGTCTTCATGTCCCTGTGAGTTCAGACACATCTGTCTTCTGGCTTGAAGCTTCTGCGAGCTTGTGAATAGTATGGAAAAGATTTAGTGAAACTTTTTCAGCTTTATATTATTAAGTCACTCAACACACACACAGTTCGAAGTTTGCTTGATTAGATAATATGCCTTTAGGCACAATAGGAACTCCAGAAACTTGGAAAGAAATGAGGTGTGAGAAAACTGTGCCTTTAGGAAATATACTAGTTAACTGTAACTAGTATGTATTACTGCAATTATTTGTGCTACCTAATAATCAAACTTGAAAGGAAGTTTCTTTGGTAAGATTTTTTTTTGTAAGATTCTTCACTAGAAATTAGTTGACCTAGAGATGGATGTCCATGTCTCTCACTCGCAGCTGTAAACTGTATGTTGGGTTTCTAACTTGGATGCCTTAGGTGCAGAATTCACTGGTGGGCATTTGGGGATCAGAGCTGAAGACGTTTATCTATACCCAAAGCAAAAATGAGAGTGAACTTAGGGATCATGAGAGACTTTCCCTTTTCAAATGTCTTTACTACTAATGAATGAATTTACTGTGTTGTGGCTCTTTGACCTGAAAGGGTTTTTTACCTAGACTCATACAGTGTTCTCTCCCACGTTGTAAATGGTCCTTGATGGCAGGTGCAGAGCTTAAAGCATTTAGAAGAATTCAGAGGGTGGATACCTACAAATAGTGAGTAGCAGGCAAGGTGGGTTGTTCCTATGTGTCAGACTCCAAAAAGGAGTAGGACATCATCATTCCTTTTCATTGGGTTAGCAAATTCTGTTAGCTCGACTGCCTTGGAGACCTGCTGTGCAGCCTGCTGAATTTTTGAGTTAAGCTTTTCTACATAGTGGCTGTTTTGATTTAAAGCAAAATAGCTTTTGGTAGCGCGTTATTTGATACGTAGAGAGCATTTATTTGTAGAACAGGAATAATAATGCTCCTTTACTTTCCAAGGAAAACTAATATATTAAAAACTACAACCATTTCTAGTGCTATTTTTAATTTCAGTATGTCAAGATTTTCTGAAATAAAAATACAATATTTTAAAAAATAAAGATGAAAATTTATTACCATCTTCTATTAAAAAGTTCAGACTCTCTTGTGGTCTGATATTTTCAAAAAGGACTCAAAATCAATACAACCAAATCAAAACCTGAGGAGCTTGCCTTTCAAATGTCAGTGCCTCAGATATGAATAATATAATTAATCTAACCAAATATGTTAAGAAAGTTGGGTGACAGTTTTCTCACACTTCTGTTGGTGTCCAGTAATGAATGTGTAGCATCCAGGTTTAGGAGAAACATCAGCTATATCTGGATAATGATGTCCAGAAAAATGCTGCAGAAAATACATTATGAGATTGAGTTTTATTCCTGAACAGTCAATTACTATAAAAAGTTGTTAACATTAATCTTTCTCTGAAGAGTTTCCAACTCACATTTAGTCTTATTTGGTGCTTTGTTCAACAGGAAACAATGGGTAGGTGGAAACAAAGAGACTAAATACCTTGAAAGCTCTGAAGTGAACATCTTTATGTTTTAATGCTGTTGGGATATGAGAGGATACACACAGAATGGCAGATGAGATGGAAGAGTGTGTTGCCTCTACAGGCACCTTGCTTTCAGTGCAGTACTTAGGCCAGATAGGTCTCTGGATGGGAGGAAGTCTAGTCTTTTATTAATGATAACTTAATGGAAGGTGACAAACTGATAATCAGGGCTTTCAGGATCTTTTTTTTTTTTTTTTTTTTACAATTCAAATTACAGTAAGTTCATTTTACAGGAAGATACAGAGAGGACCCAAATTAATGTTCTTGCAGTACAAGCCATAACTTCCTTGGTGCTGAGTGCAATGACAATACCTGTTGCAGGCAATCCAGCAGTTAGCTGTTTGGAACAGCAGCCCCGCAACAAAGCTTTAAAAGCTCTGGACACAAGGTATATTTTTACTTGCTTTAAAATGCATTAAAGTTATACTTGTGATTAATGCATAATTACAATTGCTTAATTTAGCTGTAGCAAAATATGTATTTTCTAAGCAAGAATGTATACAGGTGGATCTGTTTACATAGAAGTTACATGGATCCTGCTGAGTTAATAGTATCTGAAAAAGACAATGTTTTATTAAAATCTAGTAAACAGAGTACAGGGAAAATCTGTTTAAATTGATTTGTCTTGGGCTTTCAGGTTTGGGAGGAAGCTGAGTGTTATCAGGGGAATTGTTGAACGGGAAATCCAAGCAATGGTATCTAAGAGAGATAATATTGCAACTCATCACTTATACCAAGCTTGGGATCCTGTTCCATCACTTTCTCCTGCTACTACAGGTAAGTAGCATGGGGGTTGGGGGAAGTGAATTTATTTTACATTTAAAAAGTAGAAAAGGTACTCTTAGGAATTTACTTGAAATCCAGTTGGCAGGAATTGAAGTAATTTTCATGTCTAGTTTGCCATGCATGTTTTAAAAACTTGTCTTCTGTTTTTGCTATAGGTGCTCTTATCAGCCATGAAAAGCTCTTGCTGCAGATCAATACTGAACGAGAAATAGGAGATATGGATTATAAACTGGGACAGGTTTGTTAAAACCTTAACTTTGAACTTGACTTTTATTACATTTTTTCTATCTTGTGAAAATTCAGTTACGATGCATTGCTTTATGTCAGATCTAAACTAAAATCTCTGAGTGATTCAGGGTAGACCGTAACTTGGCCAGCTGTCCCACCTCTCATGGAATACTTGCTTGTGTGTGAGGTCTGCCTGTGAGCCAGCTATTGATTTGTACTTTTCTGAATTATTTTCTTGCTAGATGGGACCTGTAAATGTTTATACTTTCTTTTAGATTCTGTCTGGTATATAGACTTTGGGATTGTTCATGCACATTCAGTGTCAGTGTGTGCTCATAGGTTATAGACAGATACTTTCAGCATCACCTGTATTGCCATACTAAGCACATGGTGCTGCTGTTTTTGCTGTGCCATACAGTTTAAAGTGAGTTAAACTAAAATTTTGGGCAAGGTTAAAAAAAAAAGTTTAAAAAAAATCATCAAGTGATGTGCAGTTCATATAAATGTGATTTGAGGCTATGTGTTCATTGCCTGCCATTTAAATGAAAAATGTATTTGACTTAAGTTTTTCTAATCTGACTACAAAGGTGTTAAATGTTGTGCTTCTGTTCTGTTTGGTTTTCTTTTTTTTCATTTGTCATGTTGCAAGGTCTCTATACATTCCATATGGTTAGGAAACAATATCACTCCACTGAGAGAAGAGGAGTGGGGTGAAGATGAAGAAGATGAGAATGACATACCTGCTCCTTCCTCACCACCAACCTCTCCTATTAACACAAGGTGTCTTTTTTTTCTTGACTCTCCCTTGCTTTATCATTAAGCTTTTATCTCTTCATGCTGAGTTAAATAATCTGGCTTTATAAATTGAATGCTAGTAAATAATTGTATTTCAAGTGAAGTATTTAGCAAAGGCTTAAGAATAGTCATTTAACACTTGCTTATTGTGCCTTGCAGGAAGCACCGGGCTGGTGTAGATATCCATTCTTGTTCTCAGTTCTTGCTTGAACTGTACAGTCAGTGGATATTGCCTTCAAACCCCAGCAAGAGGACACCAGTCATCTTGATTAGTGAAGTAGTGCGATCAGTAAGTCTTAACCTGTTTTCCAGAGTCCTGATTGAGTGTATGTTACCAAGAGTTGAGAGCTAAGCAACATTTGTAAGGCCTCTTCTAATATATGGGGACACTGATTTTTCTTGCCAGTGCTATTATATGGGCAGTGGAGAAATACATATGAACAACTATAACATTACAATGTTTTAAACTATATAAGCATCTGGATTGTATTTTCTGCTGCTGTATTACAAACACTTCATTGTTACTTAGTCAAGTAAAATACCTACTATCATTATTTGCTAAAAATAGACATCAGGATTTTACTTGTCTCTTTGTAAGACAATGAAGATGGAACAAGAATGTATTAGAGGATTAAATTTACTGTTGAAGTATAGAACCAAACATAAGAATACAGATGTGGGATGTGTCTTCATAGCCCTTATTCACCACCTAAAAGACTTTAAAGAAAACTCTCCTTGCATGAGATTGATACATATGTGTTGTGGGTGTTCTAATACATTGTAAATGGCAACATTTGTTCATTTTCCAGAATTAATTACTGTCATGGATTTGGTTTTGTAAATCTTCGGGGGGAAAAAAAATGAACTGTTTGGAGGTAATAGTTATCTGATATGGATGGTGGAATTAATTCTGGACAACTTAACAAGTTATTCCAGACAGTTGAGTTAATGTTTTTGCATTTAATAGGTTGGTCAAGAAATCTTTTGCTTAAAATTGTAACAGAGGGGATGTCAGTTTTTGGCTGTCTGCTAATGGGCTTTTTTTAATATTAAATTTTAATTTTTGTACAGCTTCTGGCAGTATCAGACTTATTTACAGAAAGGAATCAGTTTGAGATGATGTATACAACACTGACAGAACTGCGGAAGGTACATCCATCAGAAGATGAGATTCTTGTACAGTATTTGATACCAGCCACTTGTAAAGCTGCTGCTGTTCTTGGAATGGTAAGAAATTCTCATGAAGGTCTGTTATAAATTCCCAAGTGTCTGGGTTGACTCATCCTTAGCTTTTGCTGCAAAATATGTACTTGGTAAGAGTCGCTTGTCTCCAAGAAAGTCCCTTAGTTGATCTGCATGGCTATAAGAAGTAAGAGGAGATTTGTATTCTGGGCTTTAGAGGTTGCAAACGTCATCACTAGTTGCCCCATATTCAAGCAGAAACGTAGTTTGGTTTGGGGTTTTTTGAGGTTGGAGCTGAATGTAATGTGCTTTCTGGTTGATCTTACTCAGTTGAGTGTTACCTTTGCCCTGGACTCATTTGTTGCATTTCAGGCAAGAGATGAGGACTGTGGAACAGCTATTGCTAGATTTATGTTACAGGTGAATGTGAGAGGCTGGAACAGTGCGTGTGATGAATGCGTGGTGTGATAGTTAGGTATCCCTCTTCTTTCTCTCACTCTTTGCTTTCCTCCACTGTACCACTCTATACTTAGGGTAAGAAAGATGTTGTCTTTAAATCTGTAGACTAGAGAGCAACAGTATTTTCAAATGGATGTTTCAGAGTGGGATTATTTCGGAAAAAAAAATAAAATTTTGGAAGAAGTTGGCATTTCTAGGAGATCTCTATGAGACTAATGTAAAACTGTATGGGTAATGGTGATAAGAAAAACTTTGAAAGAGTTTTGGGTTAGGTGTTTTAGTAGCTTTTGTAGCAGCAGTTGTGCAACGGAAGGCTGTGAAAGTGTTGCCAAACATGCAGAAGCAGTTTTAGAGAGCGTATTGTCCTGAGCAGACTATATTTTCCCCCTCAGTGAACTAACACCTTCTCACATACTAATAACTGAATGTAACAGCTTAGTGGAAAGGGAAAAAAGGTTTATTCCATCAAGAGCTGCTTGTTGTCTTGTGCTCAGTTATGTAGAGAATCTGCTTTAAAAGAAAACATACACTGTAAAACTGGCCAGTATCTTAGATACTTCATGAATACAGGGAAATAAATAATTGCTACTATATACTTTAAATAGGTTGTAAGAAAAAAGACTTTTCTAATATAACAGTTTAGAATAGGTTTTACATATTCCAATACATTTTTTACTTCAATAACAGGGAGTGAAGTATCTGATACCAGCTGGATGTTTAAAGAACAAACATAGGATCATACAATCATTTAGATTGGAAAAGACCCCACAGAGTCCAACTGTTAACCTAACACTACCAAGTCAACCGCTAAACCCTGTCCCTAAACACCACATTTACATGTCTTTTAAGTATCTCCAGGGAAGAAGAGTGACTCAAACACTTCCCAGGTCAGCTGGTTCCAGTGCTTGGTAACCCTTTCAATGAAGAAATTTTTCCTAATGTCTAATCTAAACAAACATCCCATGGCACAACTTGAGGCAATTTCCTCTTTCTGTTGCTTGGGAAAATAAATTGACATCCACCTTACTGCAATCTCCTTTCAGGTAGTTGTAGAGAGCTGTAACAACTCCCATCACCCTTCTTTCTTTCTAAAGGCTAAACTACCCCAGTCTCCTCAGACGCTTCTTGTAAGACTTGTTCTCCAGAACTTCCACCAGCTTCGTTGCCCTTCTTTGGACATGCTCCAGCACCTTGATGTCCTTCTTGTAGTGAGGGGTCCAAAACTGAACACAGTACTAGAGGTGCAACCTCACCAGTGCTGAGTACAGGTGGACAGTTGCCTTCCTACTCTCACTGGCCACACTATTTCAGATACAAGCCAGGATGCTATTGGCTTTCTTGGCCACCTGGGCACACTATGAGACAGTTTCAGACAGAAGAATCCCTAGCTGGAAGGCCAGAAAATTCCAACCATCCAAATCCTATATAGAGAGAATTGTTAATAGCATATAATATTTACTGAACTAATATTTGGTTTTATGGCTTTAAATTTTGAGATAACTTTTTACAGGTATAACAAAGTAGCATCAGTTCACAAGTTAATCTGCAAGTCATCTCTGATTATATTAATCTTGTGACATTTGATTCAAAGTAGTTTTAAGCCTAGTTCATGCCAAATTTTCTGCTCTTTAATCTGTTCCAAGTATTTTCAAATGACAGGATTCACCAGCATTGACTTCTAACAAATACTCTCCTTGGATGCATTAGGATAAAGCTGTGGCTGAACCAGTAAGTCGGCTGCTGGAATCAACCCTAAGAAGCACTCATATGCCAAGTCGGATTGGAGCTCTGCATGGAATTCTTTATATCCTTGAGTGTGACCTGCTTGATGAGACAGCAAAGCAACTCATTCCAATTATCAGCGAGTATCTGCTCTCCAATTTGAGAGGAGTAGCACAGTAAGACTGTTCCTCCTTCCCTCCAAACTGTTGCATGCTTATGTGTGAACAAAAGGGCTCCTCATTGTTTGCTCTTATCAGTACATTTTAGAGCTGTTGTATGAAGCAGGTTTTGGCATTTTCAATGAAATCTTAAAACTGAAGCTTATCAGCCAATTTTAGGTTTGATTTACAGAAGCAAAAGGATATTTGAGGGTGAGAAAACTTTGTCTCTCTGGTCAATTGTGTTCTCTAAACCTTATTTTTCTGTCGGAATCCATACTTTGAAAAAGACTTGCAGGATCAGTAATGAAGTTTCTTTCTTCTAAACAAGTCAGGCAATGATAGCTTGTAATTGCTGAAAAATTTCATGTGTTGCATTGGGTTTCCATGATAACCAGTGTGTGTTGGCTTTGGCTGGGATGGAGTTCATTTTCTTCATAGTAGCTAATATGGGATTATGCTTTGGATTTTTGCTGGAAACCTGTGATGACAGAGATGTGTTTTGGTTACTGCTGAGCAGAGCTAACACAGAGTTAAGGCCTTTTCTGCTTCTCACCCCACCACACCTGCCAGTAGGCTGGGGGTGCACAAGAAGTTGGGGGGGGTGGGACTGAGGTGGGACAGCAGACCCTAGCTGACCAAAGGAATATTCCATACTATGTGACATCATGCTCAGCATATGCAGATAGGAGAAGAAGGAAGCGGGGGAGGACATAAAGGGTGATGACGTTTGTCTTCCCAAGTAACCCTTGCATGTGATGGAGCCCTCCTGTCCTTGTTTATATTGTCTCTGTGATCTAGAGGACTTTGATGTAAGTGACCACTAGTGTTTCTGCTTGTTTACAGTTGTGTAAACATCCATAACCAACAGCACATCTTGGTAATGTGTGCAGCTGCTTTCTATTTGATCGAGAACTACCCACTTGATGTAGGGCCTGAATTCTCTGCAGGAATTATACAGGTATGTTGTGAAGCTGCCAGTGACAGGTGGTCACATAACTAGGGATCACCTCATAGCTATCTTTAACACTTAACTTGATTATTGTAGTGTAGATATGCTTCTGGGTTTAGTTTTGTCAGATTGTCTTAATATCTGGTGCAGTTTCTTACCAGCTGCAGTGGTATGGTGCTAGGAGATGATCTAAATACAGCTCAGACAGTTGTGTTTTTTTCTTTATTTCAGATGTGTGGAGTCATGGTGTCTGGAAGTGATGAGTCAACACCGTCCATTATTTATCATTGTGTCCTGAGAGGATTAGAAAGACTCCTTCTTTCAGAGCAACTTTCTAGGCTGGATAGTGAATCACTAGTTAAACTGAGTGTGGACAGAGTGAATGTACAGAGCCCCCACAGAGCAATGGCAGCACTTGGACTGATGCTGACTTGCATGTATACAGGTATTTATTTGTATGAGGAAAAACTCTGAGAGTGACCAAGCACTGGAGCAGGCTGCCCAGAGAGGTTACAGAGTCTCCTTATCTGGAGATAACTCAAAACCCACCTGGACATGATCCTGTGTAACTTGCTCTAAGTGAACCTGCTTTAGCAGGTGGGTTGGATTAGATGATCTCAAGGTCCCTTCCAGCCACTACCATTCTGAGATTTTGTTTGCTTTTTTAATACCTTTGATGTGCTGAGATACTAGTTTATGAAAAGAGCTAATTTTCTTCATTTATTTTTGCTACTGAGGTAAAAAAGTTCTCATTTTAGCATTTACAGCAAAATTGTAACAAAATATTTTGGTTTAGGAAAGGAAAAAATCAGCCCCAGTCGTAACACAGATGCAAATCCCTCTGCTCCAGACAGTGAATCTGTGATCGTAGCTATGGAACGAGTTTCTGTCCTTTTTGATAGGTAAGAAGATAAAACGTGTAATGTGGCACTGGGAGGGAAATGATTCTGTTTGGCACTGTGTGGTCACTTCTGTGTTTGACAGCTCTAATATTTAATTAATGCTGTTTCAATGCTTACTGTTGCTTAAAACTGATACTTGTGGTTTACACAGTAACACTGATGGAATTACTTAAGGCAGCACAAATGTACAGGAATGTAAACGGAAAACAGGCATGTCCTAACTGATACTTTGTGTTCCACAAACCATAAGCCCTATAAATGTATTTCCAGCTCCCTTCAGGTCAAACTCTTAAGTGCTTCTCGTCTTCTGCATAATCGAGGATATAAATCCAGTTTATGGAAAACAATCTTTCAAACCACCCTCAGAGTTTAAAACCTTTTCCCCCACTCAAGTATTGCTCTTTCCAAGGCTGTTAAGTAATTGCAGTGGAAGGGTACAATAAAACTTTTGTATTCACATGGAACTCATTTAATGGAAATATTTCAAATCCCCTGTTTTGATCTGACAATCTCAAGCTCAAGTCTTAAGTGAGAATAGCATGTTAGATTTTGAATAGTAGTTTGTGGGATAATGGTTTACATTTTTCACAGTGTCCAGTGGTTTTTCCACAAAACTATGCGAGGGTTTCACTTCTGCACTCCATGAGAGCAGCACTAGAACAGTACTTGAGCACTTTTGAAAATATCACTCCTAAGAGTCAGCAAAAGAATACTACAGGCAGAAAATAACTTTTGCAAGAAATAAACATGATGGTAACTTGTTCTTCATATACCAACAGATACAGCCTTTATTAGGAAGATTTTCCAGTCAGGGTTATTTAAGTAAAATTGTCTTTATTTTGGAGTGCCTTTTCTCTTTATGGTGCAGCACAACTTCCTTTCCTGGTTCAGTATATGGGTCATCCTGGTCTTCAGTTAAAAATATGCAAGGATGTTATGAATGGAAACTCATGTTCTACTTATAAATGGTCTTTGCTCTGATAACTAGCAGTAGTGATCTCCCTGTCTTTTTTGTTCTTGTTCAGTTTTCTCAACATTCATAATATTGAAAATTCTCTGATGCAAAGCTTAAAACAAAATTTACTATTAAATAAAAGGGGAGGGGTGGAGGGAGGACACAAGACTTGTAACAGCTTCTGATAGAAGCTTTAATAGACCTCTTTGTGTAGACTGTTTGAGTAAGATTACATGAAGACTGGGATTCCTGAGTGATGAAGACTCTTTTTGCTTATCTACAGATGAAAGTAAAATGTTATTTCTCTTGCCAGTTTAATTGGAAAAGAATGAGATATTCAATGGAATTAAATAATAAAATGTATTCTTTTTTATTATTTTCAGGATTAGGAAGGGATTTCCTTTTGAAGCCAGAGTGGTGGCTCGAATCCTTCCACAGTTCCTTGATGATTTTTTCCCCCCACAAGACGTAATGAATAAAGTTATTGGAGAATTTCTATCCAATCAGCAACCTTACCCTCAGTTCATGGCAACAGTAGTTTATAAGGTAGTGTTTGTATTTATTTTTTTTCCTTAAATGTTTCAGAAGATTTCTTAAATAGCTGACAGCTCAGTCAGAAGGGCAAATACCAGTTTTGTGAGATCTAATAAACCTTACGTAGTGATTGAGCTGTATTGCTGTGAGCTTTGTCTTCTGGGTGACGTGGTGATTCTAGCCTTCTGTGTTGCCTGGAAAACAGGTCACAGCAGTACAGTTCAATCACTGATCATGGGAAAAATAAAGATAAAATTAATAGTTGGGATCATGATGCTCAGACTCTTTAGAGCTCAAAGAACTGGTCCACATCATCTGACCTTGTGAACTCTACAGTCAAGCTCCTGTGCACCTAAGCTTCTGGGTATTTTGCTCTTCAGCACTTACCTACTGGACTCATGCATCACTTGAGGGTGCACATGTGCACCACAGTTCATGTATAAAATAGGAGCACCAGAAAAGTCTTGCATTTCTATATGCTTACTTCAGTTTGGCACAGATGTGAGTCCAGCTGGATCTTGGCTGACTCTTTTGCAGAGTGTCTTTGCCTAGGCATTGTGTTCATTAATTCTTTAGACTCAAAGTTGGCTCCAGGAATCTGGTTTGTGAACCTCAGGGCTTTGTACTTGAAGAGAATCTTTACAAGAGAAACAACTCCTTCCCATGCCCATCTACCATGTCTTTATTCTGTTGTCAAATATTTTTGCAGGTATTCCAGACACTACATAGCACTGGACAGTCCTCAATGGTCCGTGACTGGGTGATGCTGTCTCTCTCTAATTTCACACAAAGAACACCTGTGGCAATGGCAATGTGGAGTCTTTCCTGTTTTTTTGTCAGTGCTTCCACCAGTCAATGGATTTCAGCAATGTATCCTAAAAAGACAATGTGTGCCATTTCTGGGTAAATCTAGTGATTTTGTAAAACACATTGGTAGCCATGAGGAATAAGAGTACAAATTTAGCACACACAAGCAGTCAGATTTACTGCAGTTAGTAGTGGTGTGTATCACTTTGTGCTGTTAGTGCCTCAGGTTTGAGGGTAAAAAAAAGTAACTTTTGAACAGATGATGAGAATGAAGTTACCTAAAAATACTGGTTTAAGATCTGTTCTTTGTAACTGTGGTAGATGATTGGGAAAGTCCTTGCTCAGAAGGGCTTCCATGGACAGCTTTGCTGTTACCTTTAGAAGTTTAGTTCTATCTTCCTTCTGCAAGATAAAATATAATTTAAAAAAAAGAGATAGAATAAATTTGAATTCAACATTATCCTCTACATACCAGCTGCGTTTTGCAAGGGTCCTCCTGGAGGTGCACTGTGGTATTAATGAGGTTTGACAGTAGAATGACATCAGCCAAATAAGTTGTAACAGCCAAAAGACACATGTGGTATCTGTGCTGGGTTGATTTCAAAACAATCAAACAAAAATAACTTGTACTTTTTAATCTCAGCAGCTCTCTTTGTCCATCAGCTGTTGTGACCGTGGTGCTGATTGCTCCAGTGGATCAAGAAAACTACTGCTAGGTTAAAACGAATTTCTAGGGATAAGAAATTTCATGAAGTTAATGAAGAAAGAGGATTTCTGTAGTAACAGTTTAATTGCTGCATGACAACATTTTGCACTTTAGCTATGTTGGTGAACTGAAAACTACATAATTTAATCAAACGACAGTGTTTAAAATGCTATACCAAAATACGAGAAACTTCTGTCAAATTATGACCTTAACATATATTTCAGTCTTCCACATATTATCAGCCGAATGGGAAAATCTGAGCAAGTGGATGTGAACATCTTCTGTTTGGTGGCCATAGACTTTTACCGACATCAAATAGATGAAGAATTAGATCGGAGGGCCTTTCAGTCAGTGTTTGAAGTGGTAGCATCTCCAGGAACCCCTTATCATCGACTACTAACTTGTTTGCAGAATGTCCACAAGGTCACAGCATGTTGAACATCCTGATATGTAATGGAACTGCATGATGAGTGTTGAAATCTGATATGAATGCAAGATGAAGAGCGTATCTGGGGTTGCATTTGTGATAAGTATGAACCTTCCGGTTTTACTTCCAGAATGCATGGACAAGTGCTCTGCAGCACTGGAAATCACCTGACAAGTGTAATGTAGTTCTTGACACCAGGCACCTGTGAGAGGAAGGAAATGTGTCAGCGTTTTTTGAGTAGTGTTTGGGACTAACCTGAAGCACATGTACAAACTGCAAAATATGAGCAACTACTACATGCAAGGTAACTGGTGTTACTCTTCTTCCTCACGTGCAGCTGGGGCCACTGTGTTGCAGCTAGTAAGAAACTGACAGACACTGTTACTGCAAGCTACAGTCATTAGAAAACGTTGTTTTATGTACCTGTATATACTGTTGTGTAGTACAGCATAGAAACGGCTTCCTGATGTCTCCTACAAACAAGGAAAAGAGAAAATGGCTTTCATAAGTTACACTTCCAGCATGTAATTCCTGTCTCCGGACTTTCTGATATCCTGTGGTGTATGTGTTGGTGACATCAGAGATATAGTGCACATACCTAACCACACATTTTTCTTTTTTCTTCTCAGGATTTAAAATTTGAGTACAGTATATCAGTAAAAGAAATTTTAACTTAAATATTTCTATATCATGTACAATATGTAAAATTGTAAGATGTGTGGTGCATGAGCTGTGCTGCAATTTGAGATGAACGGAAGCCACACTACTGAATGTCTTGACATCTGTATTGTTCTCATGTTTTTTCCCTTGTGCTTTAATTCATGTCTCTTTAGGAAATCCATCTTGATGTACAGATTACATCTTGTTTTGCATCTCACTTTTTCTTGAAGTGCTTTAAAACTGGAATATGCTGATTAATTTGTTTGGAGAAACTGTACTAAGGAGGCATTCTTGTGATCCACTTCAGTGTAGCTTCTTTTGAATTCCTTTGGTTTTGGACATGGCAGTAAAAGAGAGGACTAGTTACTCTGGATCAGCTTTTTCTGTGCTTAAGAAATTGCCCTTATCTGCTGCACAGCATTTTAAGAGACAAAATGGTACAAGCTCCCCAGTAGTCAAAAACCATTTGACCTTTCCTAAATGAGCCATGGAGTCATCTGGATTCAAACCACTATCATTAAAAAAAAATTGATGCTAGCAGTTAATCAGATGGCTGCTTGTAGGCTACTTGGGGACTGGCTACAGTGTTAGATTGCAACCTCTTATCACCTGTCATATGCATAATGATTGAGACACAAACACAATACAAATGTCCCTGAATTTTAGGACACTACAGAGGGCCAGATTTAGTTTTTACTCTCTACCCAGGTAATCCCGTTGATTCCTAAGCATTGCATGGGGAAATCTAGCACAGCATTTGTCTTTTAGTTGTTATTTGTTGTAATTCTTTAATTATAAAGAAATTATACCTTGGTTCTCAGTCACATGCTACATTAAACGTCTCTTTTCTTATCACACCTTTTGGTGACACTTGGAAAAAAGAGATAGTGTTGTCAGGAGGAGCATGTACTGTATGTATTTCTGTATATAATGTATATGTTGAAATTATACACATGTGACATTTAATGTATACAGATGTGTATATTTGTATTTATTAAACCCCTGTATTTAAACTAATTCCAATCTAGACCAAAAATTGTTGCTTCTGCCCATAAATTAATTACAAAGGAATTGTCCACTGGTGTCACTTCCTCTTATGGTAGATGAAAACTATAGTATGGGCAGTAGAAACAACTGTAGATGTTGCTGTATTTAGCTCTCTACAGATCTTACTATCTAGAGGAATTATTTCTGCCCTTAGTTGGGTTATTCTTCTTTCTTGGGCCACAGCACTGTGGTGATTTTTAAAAGAAACTGAACGGGAGTTCAGGAAAAGGTGTAATAAAATAGGTACTGTTTGAAAGTTTTTGACTTAGATTAGAAGTTATCTTAATTCTGATAAACTAATTCAAGACAGTGAGATATAATGCCCTGTGCTTTCATTAAGGGCAGTATAGATCACTTTTCCCTTTTGTAACCACCAATAATCATTTTGTACTGTAAACCCACACACCAGTCAGTTTTTGTATGATATATAGTTTAAGTGAAGATATTTTTGTAAGCTATTTTCCAAAATCTAAAATAGATTTTACTATATTTTTAAGGCATCGAGTTAGTCATATTCTCACCATATAACTATATGTTGTGTTTCAAACTGTTAAATTCTTTGTTGTTTTAAACTCCTTGTGATTAAAACAGAATAGCTGGTTCCCTCATCTTGGGGTCGTGGGAGCTAGCCCCTTTCTGAAACTTTCCAAACCAATATGAAAGTTGCCATAGGATCTTTCCAACAAGTGAAAGAATACGTTGAATTAAACAACCAGCCTGGCTGGATGAAAAACACCAGATGTGACAGACCTCCCTCCCTCAAATGCCCATCGCTGGCCTTCAGGTAGACATTCATGTTACCTACTTCTAGTCAAGCTTCAGAGCTGGTGCAGTCACTTCTGACCTCACACAGATTTCCTGGCAGTAATAACTCCATCTGTTTTAATCTCTCTTGGAGATTTGTCAGAGTATGCCTCCTGAAACATGGATACTAAGTGTCTAAAGAAGGGCATCTCAGGAAATTCTCAGTGACCTGAGAAGAATGTAATTTAAGGGTCTTCCTAGTGTGGATACACATGCCAGTAGTGCTTCAAATCTCACCTTTCACTGGCAGCATGTTTTTCTGTGTACTTCCTAGACACACTTTCTCCACCCTCACTGCTGGATTGAAATAATATTTAAAATCACTCCTCCCTGCTCGTAGTGACAAGAGCCAGGGGGTATGGGTTAAGAACAGTAACAGCAAAACAGTGGCCACTAAGAAATGCCCATGTTGGATTTATAGGAAATAAACAACAGCTTGTCCCTTGAGGCTGACTTAAGCCCAAGTTTTATTTCACAGAAAATGTTTTAACTTGCTGAGGACAGAAAGCTAACACTGAAAATCAGGCTGTTGGGTTTTTCATTGAGAACAGGGAATAATGTTTCGACTTCAGGCTTACATTTGGTGTCCTGGCTGACCAAAGCAAACTGTTTCTTTAATGTGCTCTGCAGTCGAGCTGGCTTCTTTACAATCTTACAAGATTGGAGGTATGGCATGATTGGGAGCATACTTTAGACAGTTCAATGTTTAAAACTTTTTACAATTCAGTTGTCAAAGAATCTACTTTACTAAATCTATAATATGGCCCTGCTTTAAGAACACTGTATCCTAGCCAACTTTTTGTAGTTTTGGGGCCAGCTACCCACTGGTCCATTAAATAAAGTTTGATTGCATTTCATTTCAGCACACCCCCCCTTCCTTGCACTGAGTGCAAGAGTGAGGCTTTGGAAACTACAACCGATTGTAATGCAGTTGTTCTTTGTGGGATTCCAAGTATTTTCTTTACTATTTACACTCTGCTAGTTGAAATTGAATGTGAGTTTATTTAAATCTTCTCTAAAGTGTATACTCAGATGTAATTTCTGGCCTAAAGCATTTAGTAAATGATTGTGCATTACTTTTGCTTTGGTAGGAATGCCTTCTCAGCACCAAGACCTTGCTTGTTTCTTAACCACCAGCAGCATTCCTAAAGCACTGAGTAATGAATTAACAGATTTAGATCAAACAAAGTGAGGAACAAGTGGAACCTTTTGGATTTAAAGTAATTTGTTGATATTTAGGAGGCTTGCCTTAAAAGCATTGTGCCATTCTCCTTTTTAAATGGCTCTTAACTCTATATAGCAGATAAGGAGGTTGTGTCAAAAACACTGCAAAGACAGTCCTCCAAGAGCAGCAGACCTGGTTTGTCTTGAGATTTTGTGGAGTTGTCACAGCTGAGCATTTGTATTTCCTAAATAAAATAAATTTTAGGGTATAATGAGCAATAAATACAGCAATAAGCAGTTAAATTTGGTCATTACCCAGTGGTGAAAAGGGAGGGATAGGGTGGGAGAACAAGGGGAACTGATTCAAGGACATTCATTGCATAAAGCAGACTTTTTCCATGTACAATCCCAACTAAACTTTCTACTAAAAGTAGAAATCAACCAAGTGACAATGGCAGGTGCTTTGCTCTTTTAAAACTGTTTTGGTTATCATAGAATGCAATTGCTGAAAGTTAGAAGAGAGCAAAGTACTTTGGGCATTTTTAGGTAGTTATTTTAAAGTGAAAACAAGCTGTGGGAAGAACTAGAGTAAGCAGTGTAGCAACATTTTGGGGAAGCCTAATATGCTTTTTAATACCTAATATTGAGATTTCAGGTGAACTCTTCGTGCATGGTACCTTGACAAAATCTTGAGAATCCCACAGTCGTACCCAGAAGAGCTTCTTTCCTATGTCAAGGTTCTGCTGTATTCAAGTTAACTGGGTATAAATGCTGCAGAGCATTTGTGAAGCATGTGCTGGTTTTTGTCACGTGCATTTCGTGTGAGCTTATCATTCCCATCAGTCTGTATGCATACCATCCAGTTGGATCAACCTAACGAAGGTTAAGGTAAACCACATGTGACATGCACCCTCTGGTGTTGTCTTGTGTAGTTTGAGGGCAATGACAAGCAAAAGCTTGGAGCCCCAACCACAAAAGCAATTGTACTCAAAGGAAAAGGAGAGCGTATAATTTTAGATGTATGTTTAAAAAAATAATGCTAAAAATACTGCACATTGAAAGTAAAAGAGAAAATAAAATATAACTATTACTGAAAGTCATTTTTCTCTGGTTATTTAAAAAAAAATTCTTGGTGCATTCTTACTTCAGCTTTTTCCCCAGTGTCTCTTCTTTTCAGCAACTATCAAATATTGGACTGTTTAAAAATATGCAAGAATACTTGAACTCCCTGCAAATGCAGGTATGCTTCACAATCACAGTGCTGTTTGCAATTAACAGAGAAGTACCACACTTGAGCTCTTAATTCTATCTAACAGTCATACTTGCCAAAACTTCTCTGGGATTCTAGATGAGATTGGAAAACACAAAATTTAGGTGTACAGCTGTATGTGTGAATGAGGGTGTATTTATCTACAGCAGTCTGGGGAGAGGATAATGTTACACAGGAGAAGAAATGGTTTAACTTGCCTAAGCTTGGTTTCCCA